TATCTCAATCCACGAGTTTTACCTTTTTTTTCCTTCTTCCCCCCCGCCCCATCCTGCTGAGGAGGGCAGAGTGAGCAAACGGCTGTATGGTAATTAGCTGCCTGCTGGGTTAGACTACAACAGTCTGACTGAAGAGTATTAAAGTACTGTGATCTGTTTTTCTCACATAATTGCAGTTTTTAGTATGCGTGTGTTTGCGGTTCCTTAGAGAGAAGGCCAGCATGGTTATTCCTGAAGAAAGAGAAGGAAGAGATGAAACAAACTTAGACCTAATAAGAGATGTTAAACCTGCCTCTGTTTCCACTGACACACGCAAAGCAGGTGAGGAGTTCCTGAAGTTGGGCTGGTAGCTCTAAGCTTTGAAAAAGATCTGTAACTATTGTTATAGTTATAATAAACATAATAATGAATTATTTTTTTCTTTGAAAAGAAAATAATTGGTTAATGAAGTATTTTACCATTAAGACAGATACCATTTGGATTGTTTCTGGGAAGCTTGTTGGTTATGAGACTGTCTAGTATTGCTTGTAGTGAGGTGAAGAGAAATTAAAACATTAAAGCTGAAGTCTACAGATAGTCAAAGGCAGTGTTGTCCATGAGCTAGTAAACGTTGGGGACCTCTTTTCATCTTGGCAAAACAGACTGCCTGGGTAAACAACTGCAGATTGTGGGTTTTGTCTACTTTCTTTGCAATAAAGCATCTTTTTTTATTTTCTTTTGCGGTTCTAACCACATATTTCTTCCTTTCTTATGACATGTATACTCTGTCTTCATCTTTACAACTCTGCCCCTGGTTTTCTTTGTCATTTTTGTAATCCTGCTTTCCTTCACTGTATGCTCTCTAATCTTTGCTATTATGTCTTTTGTGGCCTTGATGCTGCAGTCCCTTCTTGTGTCCTTCTACAGATCTATAAGATGCTAAAATACAACTTCTACAATAAAATGCCATATTTCTGTGAGAAACACATGGAAATAACAAAGATCAGCTTCGGTATCTTGTTTTGTGGGCAACTTTTTAAAGATTTTCCTGATGCATTTAAATAATGTATTTCATTGTCATATATTCAAAGTTTATAGCAGTAGGGTGATAGTCCTATTAAACCGCAGAGGATAGTCCATAAACTAAAATATATAATTTGGTAACTGATTTTTGTCTACAATAGTGAAAAATTAAATAAAGTCTGGATTTACTATGCTGCTGAATTTGTGAAGATCTGCGAGATGTGATTTCCATCGGTTACAGCAGCACTGGTAGCACACAGGAAGACTGTACAGCCAGAGTCAGAGGGCATAAGCATTAGGTTGACTGTATTTATTTTGCTTTCTAGGTGGACAGGAACAGAAGACTGTTCAGCAAACTGTAATAGTGGATATGCGGGAATTCCGTAGTGAGCTTCCATCACTGATTCATCGTCGTGGCATTGACATTGAGCCTGTTACTTTAGAAGTGGGAGATTATATTTTAACTCCTGATATCTGTGTAGAGCGGAAAAGTATCAGTGACCTGATTGGTTCCTTAAATAATGGAAGACTGTATACACAATGCATTTCTATGTCCCGTTACTATAAGCGACCAATTCTCCTGATTGAATTTGATCCTAACAAATCTTTCTCCTTGATTCCACGAGGCTCTCTACATCAGGAAATTTCCAGTAATGATGTTACTTCTAAACTAACCCTTCTTACACTCCATTTCCCAAAGTTACGTATCCTGTGGTGTCCCTCTCCCCATGCTACTGCTGAACTGTTTGAAGAGTTAAAACAAAACCATCCCCAACCTGATGCAGAAACAGCAATGGCTGTCACAGCAGATTCTGAAATTCTTCCTGAGTCAGACAAGTATAACCCCGGTCCTCAGGACTTTCTATTAAAAATGCCAGGTATTAATGCAAAAAACTGCCGTGCCTTAATGAACCACGTTAAAAGCATTGCAGAGCTCGTGACACTGTCAAAGGACAAACTCTCCAAAATTTTGGGTAATGCTGCCAATGCCACGCAACTCTTTGACTTTATTCACCTGACCTATGGAGAGGCAATATCTAAAGGAAAAGCCAAAAGATGACTAATGAGATTGTTCAACATAGGGCATAGATAAGCTTTTCTTGCACAGTACTTTGGCAGAGTACATGAAATATTTTAATAAGTGCCCTCTAAGATAACCAGCTGTTTCTCACTAATGCTGTTCCATCAGTTTTAACATTCAAGTTAATTGTTACTGAAGGCAAGTTTCAAGAGGAATAAAAAACGTTTCTAATGGAGAAATGCAAATGATATTTATTCTTTCTACAGCACTTTAACCAATTCTATAATATCACTGAATGAAATAAATTAAGTTCTTCACCAAGTCCGTAAGAATTAAGTGCTAAGACTAGTAAAGGTTGATTTTTTTGAAAGTTGTGATGTCTCGTTAAAGCTAAAAAAGTATCATATTTTCATTAATGTGCGTGACCTGCTGCATGATATATCACTTTGCTTTTGCCATGTTTATTAATGTCTTACTCTCTGGAAACTGCCAATTTTCCATTAACAGTGATGGAGCTATTTGAAATGCATCGTGGTCTTTTGTCAGGAGTTCATTTAAGAGGACATACTGGGACTCAGTTGTGATTTTTAGATCATCGTAAGCCTTTGTCACAGTAAACTATAGTTGTGTGGTATGTTCTACATTATATATGCTTACTTCACTAGAAGTTATACTTTCTTTTTTGACATTCCAAAGTCAGTACAGCTCTGTCTTGTAGTTTGTGCAAAGTGCATTCCTTTGGTCTAGACTGGGTAGAGATTGTGTAGTGGCACAATACAACTTAATTCTCAGCGTGCCTTACTTACACTTTTAAGATACTTTATTTTTTTAATCAGTTTTGATAGCTCTTTGACCTCATTCACTTGAAAGTGAAAAATCTAGGTATACCATTGGGACTATTCTTTTATACCAGAGCATATTCCCTCTCATAAAATACAGTAGTTTTCCAAGTAAGGTTTTTCAAAGGTGCTCATAGTTCTTCCAATATTGCCTTCTTTCTTGTCCTATTGCACTTGCATTTTAATGTCTTAAATAGGCCATTCGTCAATAATTTCAGTAAAGCTGTTGTCACCTGGAAGATAAAACTTTTAGCATTCTGTGTAGCATAAAACGAGAAGTTATTTTTCTTCTGATAGTTTGTGAATGTGTATATTGTTAAAGACATATGTTCTGCACTGAACTTTGATACAACTATGTAACAAACTGCCATTGCCAAAAGGGTTGGTCCTGTGTCGTTAGATGCTAATGTATTTACATTAGCTATTTACAAAATCTTTATCTACAATGACTTGCACGTATGTATTTATACAATTCTAATGCTAACAACAGATCAATATAATCCCCATCATTAATGGAGAAAGTGTTGATTTTCTGTATTCAGGTTCAGTGAAAACTGTACTGTGCACTTTCAGGTTTAACGTTTGCTGTGCATTTTAAGTGTGAATTATGAATTTCTTAAGAATCTAGGACTGATCTGTGACCGATTTCCAAAGTGAAGAGTTTTCTGCAAATGCAAATTTCAGTATTAAATACATCCATAGCAAGATTAAAATTTGTTAATTATCTTGATTCTCCTTTGGCTGTATTGATGTCAAGATTTTTATTTTTAGTGTGTGGTTTATCATCCAGATCTTAGGGTTTCTATTGCCCTACATTCTAATTTATGTCCCTTAATATAAAAAAGAAGTCTTTCTGCGAGACTTTTGCTTATTCAAAGCAATAAGGTCAGAAATGTTCAGGGTTGAGAATGCCTGTGAAGGGGTGCTAAGAGAACTGAAAATCAGAGTAAGAACGTAAGTGTCCTGAATGCATGGCTTGTAGAGCCTGATTCAGAGAAGGAGAGCTGAACAACCTCTGACATGTATTGTTCATGCACTTGCATCATTAAGATGTGACATGAACTGTAGGTTGGTTGGTTGGGTTTTTTTCAGCTGTACTGCATCTCGGCTTTGTCATTGGGGGTTCTTTGCTTAAATTTGTATAAGGTGAAAATGAAGGGTATATGAAGAGGTTATAAAGTTGTAGCTTTGTGTTGTACACTAGATCAAAGTCACATAATGCAATTAAATAATATTTGCTAATTGCCTGTTGTTTATATATGTGGAATTTTTGTAAGGGTTTTTTTGGTTAGGTTTTTTGTTCAATGCAGGATTTGGCTTTTTCTTTAAAATAACAACAAGTAACATTGTTGCACGTTATTATTGTTTATTTGTGATTTGGTATTTTACTGTACTAGGTTAGGTTGCAAGTGAGTGGTGTGTCCTTCAGGGGCAGTATGTACAAATTGTGAACAAAGGTGGGATGAGGTCTTGTCTCCTGAAACCACTTAACCCTGAAATAACCGAGCCAAAGAGTCTGCCTGTGTGCAATGCAACAAAATGTCTGGGTAAATGATGAGAATCCATAGGATGCATTCCCTGGCCTTACGGTGTTCTTTAGCTTGCTTTCATCAACAGAATGAAATTTGTATTATGGTCTTGTCACTGCTTGATGTTTTAAGTTTGTGCTTTTTTTATTAAAAACAAGCAAAAAAGAACATGCCTTCAGTTTGGGACTGTCTTGGTTTGGGTGTAAGAAAGAATCTAAGACTACACGTTTCAAGGTCACTGAATATGTGAAACCAGGTGTTTATATGCTTTTGGGAAGTAAGTCAGCAAGTTGCTTGCTTATGCAGTTTGTCCTAGGCTTTGATTGCACAGGGTTTCTTCTAGAATTAAAAATCCAAAATTTCTTAGGAACAAGTGCAGCTTATATTAGCAAATATATTTTGCACAGGATAGAGTATGATGCAGTTCCTATGTTGTAAGTTCTCTGGATACCATTCCTACTTGCAGTGACGCTTGCAGTTTATAGCTACAATTGCAAAGGAGAGGTTTTGCTTGCTGTGTTGTCTGTGAGCAGTTCCCCAAGCAAAAAAAACCTTAACCTTCAAAATTACTTTCTGTGCATGAACATGCATAGTAGGGCTTTTCTAGTACCAGCTGTATTGCTCACTTCCAAATTTATGCTTACAAAACTTAAATGTAAGCCACTTGACCGGAAATCCACACCACTTATAAAATATGCAGCTATCCTGTAAAAGAACAGTGGCTTTTTTTTAGAAAGTACAGAAGTTTAAATGTGAGGATTTTTGTGATTGTGAGGCTTTCTCATTTGCAGAGTGATAGTACAATCACAAATAATTTTTTAAAATAAACACTTCTGTCTCTAATGCTTTCCTTAGTCATCCAGAATTCCAGTTCTATGACTGTAGAATGGAATCCAAAAGCAAACATCTGCCAAAAAACAGTTATTAAATGAATACATTATTTATATGCCAAACAGCAAGAAATGTAACTGACAGTGGTTAAAGAAACTTGTCATATGTGGGCTTACAAATTGACAATTTTTATTTCAGGCTGCATAAGCTGGGTGCTAGTAGGGTTTACAATCCTTTTATAAGGGCTACTTTAGGATAAAGTTCTCTTTAGCTCTTACTCAAAGATAGTCTAAATTAAATTAATATTCAATTGATCTGATTTGTACAATAAGTGGTTTTAAGAAATGCAGCCAGTGGGTTCTGGGGAAAAAAATTTACTCCATTGTCAAAGTCCAGAGAGAGAGAGAATGTACAAGACTGACTAAATGTTTTGATAAGGTTGTAAAGGAAATATTCAAATGTTTTAAAGCTTCAGTGCTATTTTTTATTTTGCGTACAAAATGTTAAGAGTTCATCTCCCAGAGTTTTCAATACAAATAGGCTGGCTGGTTTTTTTACTTGAGTTTTGTTCTATATTTTGCAAGCTTCTCTGCAATAAATTAAAAGGAAGAAATAGTCTCAGCCACACAGTCTTGAAAACGGAAGAAGTGTTCAGTAGCTTGGCTAGCCAATACTTAGCTATGAGATTAGTTCTTTAGTCTTACTGAACTTAGTGTAGTAGCCCCTGTTACCCTTACTGCTATGGTGATTTGTTGTCTAAATAGAAGATGTTGATGCAATATATCAAAATGGGCCTGCATATATACTAATTTTAGTGAGGTTTTTTTAGAGCATGGAAAAATTCTGTTAATCCACAACTCCTATAAAGCAGCCTTCCTAGGAATATTAAATTGGGGTTAAATAGATACTGTTTTCTTAGCTTGCATTTTACCATAGTTCTGTTTGTAAGAGCTTCCCTCTGTAAATAAAAACAGATTTCATTTCTAGGGTCCTTTGTCACTCAGCATTACTTCTCTTTTCCTTCAACTTTATCATTGACTATCAAAGAGAGTAGACTAGTTATTAAACAAACTGGAATTATTCAGCAATGCAATCTTGTTATTGAGCTCCCAGCTTCTTCTTCAACTCTCAGAATGGCACTTACACCATTCTCATTTTTATTTTTTTCTTTTTGTGTATGAAAAGACAGTGGTCAGGTGGCTAAACAAAGTTTTGCAATTGATTTGCCTTTTTCAGTGGTTACCTTTCTCACATAAGTTTGTTCAGCAGATCATAGTAAATATTCCTTTTATGGAAACTCAAAGTAAAACCACACATAAGTCTTTCTCTGTTTATGAGATGGTCAGGTTTACCATGAAGTAGGTCCAAAGAACACTAAACACAGTTTCAGACACAATTAGCTAGCAACCACAGCTGGGACTACTGATTAAAAGATTTGGGGCAGGGGCCTTACAGGATTATCAAGACTGCCAGAGAGTAAATTTATAATTTTTGAGGGTAGAATTTTCAAAATCACTACTAAATCTATCATGTGTACTATAAATTTATGTAAGTTTTATTTTTAAACCACCATTCCCCACTGCTCCAGCTTCTCCTTCATAACTATAGTTCAACTGAATTCAAATTCCATCAACCCTAACACAGAAAGCTCGCAAGTAGATACTGGAATATGGCATAATTGGATTAGCAAGAAGAGAAAGAAATTTCCATCAGGCGATTCAGTGACATACTTCTGGTTTAATCTCCCTTTAGTGACTCCTTAGTATTGTTCACACAAACGTACCAACATTCAAATTTCAAATGCATACAGAATGATCTTCCAAGTGATTCAAAGTCCAGG